ATTACAGTAAATGCTCAATTTAGGTAAAATCACAATCTAATTAAACAAATTCAGTCTAAATACCTGCTGGGCCAGTAAAGATTTATCTGTCAAATACCTCTAAGCATATTCATTTTCTATAGCAACAGTTAATTGGATATGCAACTGTCACTTTAAATACTTTAAATGAGGCTGATGGGATTAGTAATTGACTGCTCGGATTAATGATTTACAGCTGGCTTTGCTGCCCTGTTGGTTGTCTACAGCTATATTCATGATAGCTCCCTACCCTTATCATGTGGGTGGAGTAGTGGTCTATAACTGCATATTAGTTACGATATTATGATACAGAATTACAATACAGATATGATGTGTTAATCAGTGCATTCCTGTTGATATGTGTAACTATTCTTAATACTGTGGGAAGCAAAGGATTATGATCAAAATACTAAAAGCAGAAAACCTCAAAACAGCCACCTAACCTCCCTAGTTAGGACTGGAGGTCTCAGCCATTCTCCAATTAGATGTACACATTGGTCTTTCATGGTTTGAGTCAGAAAGCAAACCTCAGTGTTGCGGGTGGTGAAACTACAGCCAAGCCTGGGAGTGGAAGCTGACAAAGGGCTTTCTACACGAGGTGGTGGGAAGTGGAAGAGATGAAGTTTGCGCATTGCCAAAGCTGTTGCTTCTGGAGAAAGAGACCAGACCGCGGAGCTTCGTCAGAGAGAGATCTCTTTGGTGATGCTTGAATCACCCACCTTGGCGGGAATTGAAGAGAAGCATGCAAGTTTTAACACTCTGATAGGGAAGCGGTTTCACTGTTCTCTGTGTGACTTTTTAGATCTTGCTTCAGTGTTTTAAAAGGCCAGGAGCGTGGTACACTCCTTGGGGTTGTCCCAGAACATCACTGTGGGTTTGGGGCCAGCTAACCCATGCCAGGAATTTCTCCAATCTCAAAGCATCCTAGGGCCAGGGAACTTAACTATTCATTTGCCTTTTAAGTTGCAAATTCTGGGATGCTCCTTTTGGCATAAGAAGGAATCCTGCTCTTTGTGTCCAGCTGAGATCTGTAGGGCTTGAGAAAGAAGGCTTTGAAGGAAACTTTCTGTGGCATGGAGATATATACATTAACTGTAGAGCTGTGTTATGAATTTGTTGTTTTGCCCTACATGTAGGCCTCCAAAACCATCCTTAATGACAGAGAGGCTTTATACACCACACACTGAAAACTTTCATTCTTGTTAATTAAGTTCCCTTCAGAATTAAAATGAGCCAGCGCATACTTAGAGTCTATGCTGAAGACAGTTTAATAATACTTATTTCGGTATATTAAATTAGAACATGTTTCTGTTCTTATAAAGATTCTATCTTGGGAAACATTATCTGAAACAACTAACAACACTGATGTTATAATTACTTGTATTTATGATATGGTTATAAACAATTATAAAGTAAATTATAATTATTTAGAAATAATTACAAAATAATTATTTTGTAGTTATTTATTTTATATCATACTATGTATTAATTTACCAGAAAAAAACCCCCAGGAAATTCAAAGTTATGCTCTGTATATTTCAGCTCACAGAATATGCCAAATTCATCTGAGATGAGGGAATGGCACTATGATCTTTCCTCATTATCCCAAGACTTAAGTTTTCAGACAGCACTCCAGCTCCATGCAGTTTGATATTCAGAAATCATTGTATTCATCAGCTTCTCTCTCCTTCATGATCTGCTCCCATATGTGAACTCCATTTGGTTCAGGAAATCTTTTTTTTTTTTTTTTCAGCCCAACTCATCCTTGCCTCAACCTCACCTAGACTCTCTTTTTCTTCCTTTTGTTCCTCATGCAGAGCCATTAGTCTCCGACTGGTCGAGACCCTTCCACCATTCATTGTTCATATTCAGTTTTTGTTATATATACCCAGTATTCAGACCAATGTTACTATATTTGATCATACTCTGGAATATTGATTGCAGTGTAAAAAAGCCAAGGCAATGATCAAAACCCAGGGAAAGGAAATGTAGATTCCGGTTTTTGGTCTCAGAATTCCTTCAGAATACTCTTGCAATTAATTTTATTTCCAGACATCAGGCTTTCTTCCTTTCTGCTTTTATTTATATAGTGCAATACCGGTTTCAATAATCTTCTGATGAAGTGGCAGCTCTAGGAATGTATTGTAAAAGGAAAATTAGGGGACCCTTTCAGAACTTGGACCAAGAGGGACCAAGCCCTTTTTCATCTCCCAGCCCAACAGACCCCATCTTCAACCTTAGTTTTGATTTGTGATTTAGTAAAGTGGACTTCAGGAAATCTTGCTTGATTCACTGGCACATTTTGAGCTGATTTAATCTGAAATGTTAATTACTGAGAATGTTAGAACAGAATGTTAGAGAGCCCCTAAGCGATGGCATAAGTGACAGTCATAAGATAAATTCCATGACAACAGAAGAAATTAGATCTTGTTCTAATTTCCCATCTTTTAAATCATAATTATTAAAGCAAGAAAGTGTCTGACTGGAGCGGTCTTCAATTATAATGGAAGGCATGAGGACTATTCAGCTTTGCTATTTTATTCAGAGAATCAAAGTTGCATCCCCCTTCCATGTACATTGCCATCTGCTTGTTCAACCTTGGAAGAGACTTATTCCTCCACTTCACTTGTCCTCACTCCTGGTTTGGGTTGCATGCATATATCCCAGTTAGATGTTTGTATCAAGTAGGATTTTTTTTTTTCTCTATAAATGGGAGGGCTTAGTAGATCAAACCACCTCTTTCTGCAAGATACATACTAGGTGTCTAGAACTTCGGGAGTTTTCTTCCTTGTTAAACCACTGATTTTTTGTTACCCGTGAAGGATGGGTGACAACAACTGGTAAACTTTTTGCAACATCAAGTACAGCAATGCTTGTTTTAGATAGAAGTCTGGCAAGGGTGCCTTTGACTAAATTAGAGGTAAGGAGGTTTTAGGGAAAAGAAGTGAATAAAAGTTGAAGTGAAATATTAAGGATGCAACTGCATTGTCATTTTAGTTTTTTCTGGAGCATATGTTTGAAGCAAACCTGTTGCTGACGCCTGCATCATGGGTTTGTGCTGCAGAGCAGGCTCGGTGTGCACAGCCCCAGGTCCCTGTGGCTGGAACGGCTCAGGTGATGTGTTCCAGGAGCCCGGCTGATGTCCTACAACCCCTACGTGGGCAGGTGCTATGGAAGGAAGGAATGGGAAGAAGACTTCCCCTGTGGCTGGTGGCATCTTGAAGAACTCTCTAGAAAGGGAACACAACTGAATCCTGAAAAGGCCATGGAGCTTCTACAGGCATCTATCTGTGTTTTCTGCCTTTTAAAATTTAGTATCATCAATTCTGTACAGCAGAAAGAAGAAAATAGTTTTTTTTTTTATTGAAGGAAAAGGAATGCCTTGCTGTTTATCAACTCTTCAGTAGGATTTTGGCCACTTCAGACCACCAATATCACTCTCTAAGGGCCAAGCCAAAAAATCATCACAACTAATTGTACGTGGTGAGGTTTTTAAGTTCGTATTTAAACACAGCTTAACTTTTAAAAGTCCTGAGTGCCTAGAAGATCCTGTTGACTTGAAGAAAAGTCAGACCCTTAATTTGCCCTTTGTGTCAATAGGTCAAATGTGTCAAAACTGAAATACCGATACTGAATGCAGAGCCAACAGATAGTTTTGGACATCTAGCTCCCATAACTATTTCAGCAACAATCTGGTATCTGAATGGCTTTGAAATTGTGGCTGTAGAAACTTTAAATACTAGACTTGCAGTTTTGTAAGTCTTGGCCATATGTCTTGAAATTACTGTTAGTGCCTGTGGCCAAAGCAATTTTAATTTAAGTGGGCAGTAACTAGTGACTTGTAGCAGTTGGTGGGGGAAAAGTGCTCACAGATGCCTGCTCGAGGAAACTAAGAGGACAGTCAGGATTATGGAAGGAAGCGTACACTGGGATGGGAGCCAGCCTTTGATGTAAGTGCTGCCCATGTAAATGCCAAAGGACCTATAGTGTTAGCATTGGGTCTTCTGTTTGTTCTTAAGATTTACTTATACTGCCTTTGTTTGAAATAAAAAGGACTTGTTGGCAGTTTCCCATATTTCAGGACTGCCAAAGTGATTTATATCGGCTGAGGAATCAAACACAAAGCTGTTCCATGGAAAACCGTTTGTCAGGTGATCTGTAAAATTAGGATTTTGAAGATTTTTATGCAGTTTTGGGTCATGTTCATTTTGCACAAACTGACTCTTTTTTTAGTTCGTGTTTATAACTTTAAGGCCAACTGTACAATCCTATATTGGCTGGATATAAAAGGTGTAACTAATCAAATGTGGCATTGTGTTGTGCACTGGAGAAATGTTTTTAGCGCTTTAAGTCAAACACGCTTATGACTTTTTTTCATGTGAATTGGCCGAACACTATGAATTATAAATTTAGGCTTTAAACATTGATTCTGCTAACTGGTTAAAATGAGAGCAGTTAGACCAAATACAGTTATATCTGGTTTAGGGTATATTTATTATTCTAGTATTCTAAGAAACTGAGAAAACTAAAGACAAGAATTTGTTTCAGCTGTCATGTGTGCAGTACAATTTCTATCATTACAGAAAAGAGGTTGACATTACTCTGCTTAAATAAAAATTGAGATGATGTTTGATTAAATGACAGAAAATAAATAGCATTTCAGAATTTTTGCAGTTAGGATGAAGAATTTATTGTATATACAGTTAAGCAACTCTACTGTAGATGTACTTCCTCTTCAAAGAAAATGGATACAGTAATCAAAATAATTCTAGCATGGAAACTACAATACAGACTGAAACTTGACTAAAACAGAAATTAGTTATCTGACTTGAAGGAACACAGAACCTGAAACAACAGATAGCAGGTTGCATCATTAACCAAGGACAGTAAAAAACTGTACAGTACAAGCAACACGTTACAATAAGTTATGACCAATAAGGCAGTCTTTCTCATTTAGGACAAAAGGGATAAAGGGAAAGGTATTAAAATCTCATAAATCCACCGTATCTCTTCTCCATCTCTGGGACCTCTTTGGAATAAGTTTCCCCATCTTCTTCTGAAGGGAGAATGGAGTCGGCGAAGCGCTTAAGAAACCCACCGTATCGTTTCTGGTAATCCAGCCACCATTCTGGCCTGCCCACTCTTCTCATGAAACCACCGTATCTCTTTTGCAGCTCTTTGGCTTCATCTTCCAGTTCGGGGCTGCGCTTTACGCTTCTCATGAAGCCTCCATATCTTTTGCTGACGTCCCCGTCATTTTCATTTATCTCTCGGTAATGCCCTGCTTCAGGGTTATCCCCTGTTCCTAGGAGCTCCTTCAGCAGATCAGAGGAATTAGCAAGGGCATCGTCGTCTGAGTCCTTCTTCATAAACCCTCCATACCTCTTAGCCAGGATTTCTCCTCTGTTAGCTTCATCCTCCGGTTCTACCCGATAGAGCTCATCCATTTTCTTCATGAACCCCCCGTATCTTTTCATGAAGCCTCCATACTTCTTTGCAAGCAAATGGTTCTCATCCAGCTCTTTCTTGTCTCCCGCAGCAATGCTGCCATCCTCAGAAAGATCCAGCTTTGCCAGCTGCAGGAGCTCCTTGCAGGTCTCCCAGGCTTTGGCAGAAGGCAGCTTCCCTTCACATTCTAGTGTACATGCCTGAAAAATGGATGCGGTTTACTGAGAACAATTTGATAGTAACAAGCACCTCACTGCCACCTCGTCTTAGCTTTAACTGTTTCTAAAAGACCGTGAGCGAGCCTCTCTTTGCAAGTGGCATGGAAGGACTGCTCTCATGAACAGCAGATTCGCTAACTGTCTGTTCTCAAGTTCTTCCTATCCCTCTCTGAAGGACACGGTAGTGTCCACTGAAAGAGACAGAATACTGGACAAGATGGATCAAGGGTCCTGTATGTCAAGGCGCCCCTATGTTTCTGTTTCAAAGGAAGCCACACATCTGGTTTCTGCATCTCCCTTATGCTCAGGTGCGTTGTTATGGGGTTTTTTTAGGTTTTTTTTTTTTTATTTACTACTGGGAAGCTGAAAACCAATTGTGGTTTGCTTCATAATGAAAGTGTAGAGGTGTATTCGATCTTCATAACTAACATTCAGAAATTTTAGGGAAGAAGTTACACGGCACTGTCATTGCGAAGAAGCCAGCTGTACTGTACCGCCCAGTATCTTCAACACACTGCACAGCAATGAAGCTGTATTTCTGTCTGTCATCACTGATGTCTCTCCGTGGCACAGATCTTTCAAATGTGTACCGATTCAAACGTAGAAATACAGGCTCTCTTAGGCAGGATCGAACTTCTGGTTTTGCTAGTTTGACATACAAAGTAGTGACAATCAGAAAGAGGGGAAAAATTCCTAAGCTGTGTTGCTTCTGACTGTAATGAAAAATTTTCAGGCTAAGGCATAAAAAAAGTTTTCAGTACCTGTATGCATCTCTCATAACCTGTCATGTAAAGATAATAACACAAATACTAGCTACTGCTATTACACAATATTAGCTACTGTTGTGGCAGGGGAATTTACTTCTTGTGAAGACAAACTCTTCAGCTGGAAAAAAAGTGAATCCAGTGGGGTTTTTTTTATTCTTGCCTATGGTTTATACACCACAACAATGAAACAAGAAATCATCAACATTTTCAATGACAGAAACACTTATTCTGCCTACAGATGATGTTTTCTAAGGATCTCGATATGCTTTAAAAGTGTGAAATTAAACTCCAGAAGAGTTTTCTCTAACAGCTAACTGGCCAGCTCCCTACCTCTGGCCTTACCTGTCTCTTGAGCCCCATTTTAGTCTGAGAAATTTATATATAGTTTTTGATATGATCAAAAGAAAATTAAAGGGGTTTACGTATTTTGCAACAATAATTTGTTTATTTTAACTGGCACTACATGCTTGTTGTTACATATTATAGTTAAGCTGTAAAGAGAATGTGATCTCAGCTTCCATCCGACTTTGAAAATGCTCTAAATCAAGGCAAGAATAGGTCTTTCCCTTCCTCTTCCCTTCTCAATTAGTTTAAGTACCCCCCTATGGCCAAATTAACATATGCTGTCTCTTAGGTGTGAATGACCAGGTACAGTGTGATAAATCTTGTATCTTACAGATATGGTGGGATAAAATCAGGTATGTTACTAGAAACATTTCTTTCTAAAAGCTATTTGTATATGTATGAGGAACTTACGGTACGGCACGTTGCTCATTTTCCCATTTCAACTAATAAGTGTTGTTATGGAATGAGACTTTGATTCTTTCTTGAATAATTACTGAAGGTGTACAAGAGAGAATATCAGTATAGACACCCACAGCATATACTCCAAAAAGCATGTATCCTTCCCCCCAAAAGAGCAAACTACCACTTTTTTCCCTACCTGACATTAAAGCTAAAGTTTGATTAAAAGCTAACGTAAGCAAAAATCTGTTTTGCCAGCCATACTAAGAACATTGCCCTTCTGAACCTGCTGTGGTTAAGAGTGAGCCCTTGCTTCAGAGTAAGCAGACGTACTCAGTGAATCTCCAATTCTGCGTAAGAATAGGGTCCAATCCTTCCTTTTGTGCATTCCCAAATAATCGGTGACATCTCAGGAAGAAAACTTTTCAGATCAGTTAGACATGCTGAGAGCACGATGCCTCAGTACGCATCTATCTGAGGTCAGGAACCCTGGCAAAGGACTTCAGGGAGGGCGGAGGGACCCCAGATCCTTAAATTTCAAGCTGAGTTGCCTCCGTGACTGTACTTTTAAGTAATTTCAGTATCATTCAAATTATAGATAAAAAAAATCTCCCCTGAATTCTGGAGTTTTCTCAACACGGTTTGTCTTAGGAGACAAAGTCAAAGGGCTCTTTCACAGGCATATTCCTAAGGCAGCACCGTGCAAGGAGGGAGCGCAGCGGGAGGCACTGCTACTCAAACCAGGCTTGAACCCTGCTTTTTTTTTGGGGTGAGATTTCAGGCAGATCCGCCGCTTTTCAGCTCGACAGCCACCCTGCCCGGAGAGCGCTCGTCCTTGCCTGGGTGCCCGCGGCCGAGGGTCGGGGCCCTCCACCCCCCTCCCCGGCCAAATTTCCCGTTCCCTTATGTTTTCACTCGGCTTTTCCCTCTCCCGCCCCAGGCAGCGGGAG